GGGGGGGGGGGGGGGGGGGGGGGGGGGGGGGGGGGGGGGGGAGAAGAAGAAATTAAGGCATCGAAAAAGATAAAAATTCAGAACTATTTACAGGCCTAAATCAAAATTTCCCAAACTTCAAACATTATGAAATATGAGGTATATTTGTAGATCGTTCAAATGACTGAACTGTGTTAACACCACCCTCTAACAGGGCCATCTAGGACTCCCCAATTCTATTAATGCAGCATAAAAAGTAACAGACTTATTTGTATCCTTGTACTCGAGCCATTCTGAATCCTCCGGATGTTTCTCGAAGAAAGCAGCATCGTCCTGGGCGCGTCTTTCTTCCTCCTCATCCTCTCGATCTCGTTCCTCCTGCAACATTAAATCCAACGCCAATTATATGTGTCTGTGTTCTGATAATACACAGCCAGTTATATCTCTGTGCTTATTTATCTAAAATAGCCGGTACAGTGGCCTTCCTTGGCATGATGATACACTGAAGAGGTGGGTCCAGTTCTTCCGGTTTAACTAACGAAGTTTATAAAATCCCCGGGGCAAATTGTCAGTATGATGACCCGCTATCTTCCTACCACCGATTCATTGAGTTTGCTCACGGAGACACCCTTACTCATTCAAGGCACTGATCAGACGATGTTAATGCAGCACCACAAATAAGTATTTCCAAGGGGCACCTGTCGTTTCGCTTTCCTTTCCAAAACTTGGCCAACTTCATCGACGCTAAGCTTCACCTTCTTCTTCCGATCCTTCACTTTGGCAGATTTTTTTGCAAAAAACTGCGATAAATCATCAGCCATCTGCAAAATTCAATCGCTCAGTTAATGGCCTGCTAGTTCGGGTAACCAATATTCCAGCAAATTTCAGCTTTTTTTCTCAGAAAAATCGAAAGACCAAAAACATTTCTGGTGCGAACAGATCAAAAAGCAAGAATTATATATGGAACCTTGAGGGTGCAGTAAAACAGTGCACGACTGCGATAATGTTAGGTGCAGCGGACGGATGCTTGTGGCAGCAGCGGTAAACCAATGTTTTAGATGCCAAATGATAAAGTTAGCTAACGGTAATGCATATGCAGCCTCGGCCGAGGCTTCGGCACCACGAATGACTTGACTGACTGATTGCTGGTGAGGCGCTTCTCCGCCGTTTTATGAGCTCAGCTGCAAATAGCAAATAATCAAAAAAAACGAAACAAAACATCGCAAAATGCTAATTTTCCAGAAGTATTCATGCTCCTTAACTGCTTCAATTCTACGCTTTTTTCCCTCCCCCTCCCCTCTCCCCTCCCCCGCCATTTTAGAGCACTACGAAGTATGTGGACATAAAAAATGACGAGGGGAAGAGAACGAAAAAAAAAGCACCGCGCAGCACCGTATATCTCATGGACGGCCAATAGATAGTAGTACTACCACAGTATCGATCCATATCGAGCAGTACAAATGTTGCCGGGATGCATCCAGAACAGGTCAAGCCCTCCTCTTTTGAGGTATATGCCTCCCATCACCACCGAAACTGTTCGCTGGCCCTGTCGAAAGCAGTTCAGAGGCATGTCGACTATGCCCATTTGCCGGATGACCGGTGTTCCCAGAGGCCCTCAAGCATATACCCCCC